CCCCCAATCCCGTGTCCCCAAATCCCGTGTCCCCAAATCCCGTGTCCCCAATCCCGTGTCCCCAATCCCGTGTCCCCCATCCCGTGTCCCCAATCCCGTGTCCCCAATCCCGTGTCCCCCATCCCGGCGCTGTCCCGCAGTACCTGGTCAGCGTCCCCCTGCGCATGTTCCGGCTCTGGGCCTTCATGGGCATGGCGGCGCAGGTGAGCACCCCAAAACCCAGCACCCCAAAAATGGGAACCCCAAAATCCCCGGGGCACCCCAAAATACGGGAACCCCAAAATACGGGCACCCCAAAATCCTGGGAACCCCAAAATACGGGCACCCCAAAATACGGGAACCCCAAAAATGGGAACCCCAAAATACGGGAACCCCAAAAACTGGGACCCCAAAAATGGGAATCCCAAATTCCTGGGAACCCCAAAACCCAGCACCCCAAAATCCCCAGGGCACCCCAAAAATGGGAACCCCAAAATCCTGGGAACCCTAAAAACGGGAACCCCAAAATCCCTGGGGCACCCCAAAATCCCCGGGGCACCCAAAAAACCCCCGGGGCACCCCAAAAACTGGGACCCCAAAACCCCCGGGTCACCCCAAAATCCGGGGCATCCCAAAACCCCCGGGTCACCCCAAAATCCGGAGCATCCCAAAAACGGGCACCCCAAAATCTGGGGCACCCCAAAATCCCCGGGGCAATCCAAAAACAGGAACCCCAACAATGGGGACCCCAAAAACAGCAACCCCAAAATCCCCGGGGCACCCCAAAAATGGGAACCCCAAAATCCTGAGCACCCCAAAATCCAGGGGTGGCACACATGTGACACACAATGACACGCGTGTGACACGCAATGACACGCGCGTGACACGCGTGTCGCCGTCCCCAGATTCCCCTGGCCTGGCTGGTGGCGCGGGGCAGGGAGGTGACAGGGGTGGCACAGGTGTGACACACAATGACACAGGTGACACACGCAATGACACGCGTGTGACACGCAATGACACGCGCGTGACACGCGTGTCGCCGTCCCCAGATTCCCCTGGCCTGGCTGGTGGCGCGGGGCAGGGAGGTGACAGGGGTGGCACAGGTGTGACACACAATGACACAGGTGACACACGCAATGACACGCGTGTGACACGCGTGTGACACGCGTGTTCCCGTCCCCAGATCCCGCTGGCCTGGCTGGTGGCGCGGTTCCTGCGGGGGCACTACGGCAACGCGGCCGTGTGGCTCTCGCTGATCCTGGGCCAGCCC